GCGGGGGTTTGCCCGTTCTAGAGGCCCCCAACCCACTGGCCTGGATCTGGCCACCAGTGCCTATCCAGGAATCATGAAGCTGAATGCTAGAGTATCCCTCGACAGCGTGCCTGGCATCATGATGTCACTTCCGGGTGATGTCATCATAGTGTACGAAGCTCCCGGAGACGGAGCTTCGGATCCCCACTGGATGCCAGGTAGGGACCTGGCAACCCTATATTCATCAGTAATTGGCACCCTTGTGAACATTCCCTGCATGAAATGAAAACAGCATGGCTGCATAAACTCTTACATATTTTTAAGGGGAACACATCTGGTACTTCCAGCTATCCTCTTTTGTAGCATTCTAGAGTTGAGGAGTCAGAGTCAACTTGTTTTTTGCCTCTTGTGAAAAAAACAGCTCAACCATTTTTAAGATCAAGTTTGATTTTAGTGTCAACAACTTATAAAGGCCATCCATTAACCAAGGGAATAAGATGTTAAGTTAATTCTTAGATGTTCTAGCATTTCCCAAACTTTTCAAGCCTGTGGCCACCTTTAGAATTTTGAGGCATAGTAGCTGGGACCATTATAGGGTTGCCAAGTCGACTTACCTGCAAAGTGGGGGGATTCCTGGCTCTGTTGGGAGTCTCCCAGCGTACGCACCACGATGACGTCACCGGAAGTTGGGGGCAGGGCACCGTGACTCGAGGAAAACCCATAGAGTTTTCCCTCGATTCACAGAGTGTCCCCCCCACAACATGGCCAGCGTGATGATGTCACCTCCGGGTGATATCATCACGCTGGGGACGCCCTCTGGCAGGGGGTGGAGTTCCCCCTGGGGCCCGATCCGCCGGCAGCGGTTAACGGGCCTCCTGGGCAGGAATTTACCCACCCCCAGCAGGGGCTTGGCAAGCCTAGACCACTACAAAATGGCTGCCACAGGAGGCAAAGCCAAGCATATATACACACTCAAGAGGAAGCAGGATGGTGAAAATAAACACAAATACACAGAAGATGATGACCAAGAGGTGAAAGAAAGCATAAAACACATAAAGCAGATGACAATTACCAAAAGGGCATAACACACACACACACAAACAAGGTTACTAAGTGGGGGAAAGGGATGAGAAAACATATGCACACAAAAGAAGATGACTGGGGTGGAGATAAAACACACAAGCATCCCATCTAGGAAACCTCTCTCTATTGAGCAGTGGGGAGGATCCAAGTGAAAAGCCCCTTTATTTACATGAAGGCAGCCAGTCACTGATCCTACCTTCATAATGGCCCTTTCCTGAAATACTTGGCAGGCATCTGGGGAAGTACCTGTGGGTTCCATGGTGCTCATGTGTCACGTTAGGGAATCTTGTTCTAAGCTATCTATTGTAATGACGATTTTCCTTTTTAAAAAATTATTCACCTGAAATCTTAATTATTCATCTAAAAAACCTGTGGCTTAATAAATTGTTTGGATCCCACAGAGGACTCTATAGATAGAAGGGGTTTCCAACCATTAGTGGAATGCGATTTCCTTGCACCCCCCTCCTGTTGTAGTCCAAAATGCTCCTGAAATGCAGCTTCTGTGTGGCAAAGGATACCCAGGAACAGCAGGAGGAGGGGTTGGAGGTCTGCTATAGGAGGGGGGAGTTGGCAAATTTTTCACCCCTTCAGTCCACAGAAATCCTTCATGCGATTCAGCCCTTCAGTCTTACTTTTAGAATCTTTTGCGTTTAATGACATGAAACATCCAAGACAAAGACACTCCTTGCAGATCCCAGTAGCACAAAACCCTAAAACACAACTCCTCAGTTTATCCAACCGCATCAAACAAAATCCAATCCTCTTATTTTTTCTAGAATAATAGAAATAGGGTGAAAACCAGTCTCTTTCTCATCTAATACCTTCCGTATTCAAAGCTACCTTTTGTATTCAAAGCTGTCATTGTCTGGGAGAACATGTAAGCTATAAATATCTTAATTGTTGCTCTGTTGAAATAGACAATGCCATTTTAGAATCTTTAAACGGTGTGTCACAGGGATGCATAATCTGGAATTCTTTCTATGTGGACATGCACTTGAAGCTAATGAGTTTGGATGAAATGTATACTGCCTCAGAATATGGTATTATGTTCATAAATCAATGTAAAATGTGAGGAGCAAATTACATGTAATACAGAAATACATATAATGCAGGTCTGATGGGCACTCTGGCCAACAAATAGGTATTTAGGACCCATTTTGAGAACAAAAGAAGCTATTTTAACCACTTTCGTTTTTATGGAAAGAGATACATGAAACAGTACAAATAAAGGGATGAATTTCAAATAAAAACAAAATAAAGAAGGCAACAACTATTTTACATCAGAGAGAAACTATCAAACTGTTGAATAGGAGTACAAATTATAAAGCAAAATATGTATTAAAATTGTGAATTAATACATGGGATCAAACATTACAGTTGTACATACTGGGAGTTTACCAACTGCATGTAGAGCCTCCTGATACATGTGGTCGCCATGTTGTGTATATACATGGGTAACACATGTACTTACCAAGCTTGTACAACTCTGAAACATGTTGATGACTGGATTTTTCACAGTTCCTACCAAGGTTGTATGTTCATGGTAAATGCAAGTGTTGTCCATGTTCAAACAACTTGGTGACCATCCATATTGGGAGTACCATGAGTAGTGTGTTCTCCTAATATGTGCAGTTAGTAGCCATGTTATGCATGATTGAAAAGGGCTTTTAGCGTGCATTCTTTGGACTTTCTGTCTGAAACCATTTAGATACTATCATTATTTGTTTTGTACACTCAGACAAAAAGGTATGTGTAAAATTTCATACGCAGAAGTATAGATTTTTATCTAACGATATTGTTAGGAAGCTAGAATTAATAACAAGATTTCAGTGTACGCATCAGGGTAAAAAAATTACATCGATTTCCTTATGTTAATTTGCAACACTGTTTTGTCAATGCATGAGAATTTCCATGTGCAAAAATGCACAGAAAAAAGAATGAAAATTGGTTTTTAAAGATAAAAATGCTTTGATATCTATTAGAATTTATGACACAGATTGATTCTACACTAGCCACATAGTCTACAATTGCTCATTCTGTTTATTCAGTTTTTAGGGGAAAAACCCTAGGTGATGTCAAAGTCAGCCTGTTGCATTCTAGTGTTTTCCGTGTTGTTTTCCCATCCTTTTCTAAGTTATTTTTTTTTAAACCTTAAGATTCAACTACAGTGTCAGACTGCCCTGTGTAAACGGTATTGAAGCTTCCCAGGGCTACATTCTCTTTAAATTTTTGCCCCTTTCTTCTCTTAGCTTGATTAATATTCTGTTCTCTTCAACATTCTTGAATTGATTTTAAACTCACCAGGAATTTCCTGGAACCCTGACAGCTGCTTGCGTTCCCAGGGAAGAGAGCCATAAAATGCACCAAGAGGTCAGAAAGAGCAGAAATTTGTTTCCACAGAGAGATACCAGGAAGGGCAAGGTGGATAGATGTTGTAAAACATGTTCAGGGTATTCAGATCTGTAGAACGTGCAACCTTGGTTGATTGAAAAATCAAGGTTCACCTTCCCAAGTTGGAGTGAGCTCCGTAAATCTGGATTGGGTAAGGCAGGAAGGCTTAAAAGGTGGATAGCATCCAGTTAGTATTGTTCAAATCCTAGGAGGTGGATTCCCCTACATGAAGCAGGTGAAAGTAAGGATCTGCATTTGCTCCATAGACATCCAGGGAGGGATTCTAGAGGTAAACCTTATGTATTATTTAGTTTAGCTTAGTGTTTTCCTTAGATCCGTAAAACCAGTAGGCATGATAGCCATTTCCACTTGTTTTGTGCTCTAGCTGAACCTGTAGCAATAAAATTTTCCTGTTTAAGAGAGTAGACTGTGTTTCCAGCTCCTCCTTGGGTGCCTTAGTCTCTCACATGTGCTTACACACATACACAGGGGAAGGGCTGAAGTAACTGGTAAACTCTGCTCTTTGTACTTGCTCAGAGGCAGCCTTTACTAGTGTTCCCCAAGTCACTGATAATGTGGGAGGCTGGATTTAACTTGGGGTGGTGGCACGAAGAAGAGGAGCACATGCATATGAACATGCTACACTCATGTAAACGCACATAAACCTAGGATGGGTTTATGACAGTATTTAAATACTGTTTTGCACACATTGTACCGTTATGATAATTTATAATATAATTTTAGAAATTAGCCATGACTTTGGCTGGCTTTAGAGTAAAAAGCAGTATTTAAATCTCCATCTCCCCAAAAGAACAGAAAGCAATAATTAATAATTGACAGCACAATCCTAAGAACACTTTCCTGGGAGTAAGCCCTATTGAATAGACCATAGTAGAGTTCAGAGTAGACCTGCTTAGGATTGCTCTCTTAGTCATAAATGTCCCAACACAATCAACTGTTTGATAGAGAAGAGGAAGTAATGAATTAGGCTGAACACAAAGGAACAAAAAGTAAATGGGACCTTTGCTGAATGGGACATTTTGAGGGAAGAAATATAGTAGGATCTGGCCTCTCTGTGTGGATTTTTATGAGGGGTATGCATCTGTATTAAGTGTTGTATGGGCCTCCCACCCCTTACTGTTTACAGCCAAATGGGGAAAAGATAGTCTTCAGTGATGGAAAAATTCATAATATAGAACGGTCCTTAGCGGGTACAGTCCATTTGCTGCTACTCTATAAATACAGGTGGTCTTCTACAGTTTTTCTGTAAGATGCAATTACTGGTAGTTGGAGAAGATTTCTTCAGTGTAGGTCCTGAAATATGGATTTTGAGACAACCAGCCATTATCACCTTTTTATTTGCTTAGTATCCTGCTATGTGAAATGAATTTGTTGAGATCACATCTGTGCTGGAACTAATCCATATAAAATTTATTATAGTAAAATAGGAGTAAGTTTCCTTCAAAAATAAGAGAATGAATTTTGTTGGTCAATAATGGTGGAACAACTTAAATTTGCAATGTTTGAAAAAAAAATTTCTCTTGCAGATAATTGCATTTGATGAATTAAAGACAGACTTCAAGAGCCCCATAGACCAGTGTAACCCAGCACATGCGGTATGTTCTGTTCTGATATTTTGCAATAACTGTGTTTTGATTTTTTTAAAAAGCTAAGATACCAGATATGATTTTTAAATAAGGATGTAGGGTTGCCTAAAACTGACATGAAGCTAATTTTAATGTGAAGAAATTATGTGGTAATCCTTTGTACAATTATTTCTGATTCAGAAATGATGGAATGGAAAAGCAGAAACTAAGGGCTGATTCACACAACCCAAAATGTATTCTGCTTGCAAGGCAAACTGAATGCATACCGTACACATCTGGTCACACTGAAACTATCAGCTATTTATTCTGTCTCTCTGTCATGAGAATGTGTTTTTCTGGGTAATAATGTGAGTGACAAATACATTTTGGATGTATGAATTAGTTCTAATGATTTCTCAAGGCGGTCTGTGTCCTCATTGTCCTACCACTGTGAACCAAATAAAATAAGGCAGGGCTTGTGGGCATGGGGTGGTGAATCAGTGAATATATAAAACTGCTCTATACTGGTATTGGTGCAATTGTGCCATGATGCACTCTGAGGGTGCATTCAGATGCGCAGCTAATCCCACCATTATGCCGGCTCAAATTTGATCCCAGTCTTTTAAATCCATCCTCACACGACCAGACATCCCCCGGGGGAATCGCCTTACCGTGTGCTGCTTCCACTGTGGATTATCTAGATGACATCCACTGAAGGAGGCATGTGCAGTGGAGTTTTAAAAAGAAACTTTTTGCACATGCGCATAGGCGTAATATTGCAGCCTTGTTGATCAGCGCATGTGCAGAATCAAGATTTGTTTAAAAAATGGCGCCTGTTCGAGATGGTCTGATGTCAGGGAACGCGGGAACGATCAGACAGGGGCAAGTCCACGATTGGTCTGTCGGAACCGAAAACTCCAGATTTTAACTAGTGCCTTTTTAGCACGGCTCCGAAGTGCAGTAAAACGGGATGCTCATAGAAGATGGACGTTTCCCAGATGTTGATGTCTGGGTGAGGTACTCGTGCCTCATGCGGATCTAAAGAGCCGTCTGAACACATCCTAAGTGTCAGTGGCTCTCCATGGTCTCCAAGGTCCATCCACCATGGTACCGGAGATTCTTTTAAATGAAGATCACAAGGACAGAACCGTCTACATTGAAAGCATATGTTCTACCACTATGCTATGGCCCCTCCCCCACTGTGTATGCATATCTGTGGGTGAGACTGTAGCTCAGTGGGGATAAATGTAAGCAACCCATTCATAAATACAGGCTTCGCTGAAGCCTCTGCCATAGAGCATCTGCTCAAAAATAATTCTGTCAGGGAAAAATAGCTGTGTGAAATGGTCCATATGTGGCTCATAGTAAGCAATAATGTGTGACTCAGACTGATTTGTAGATTTTGACCTGCTTGATCCTGCTCATTTGTAATAACCACTCTGTCGTTTCCAGGAACACAGAACTCAAACCCCACTTGATGCCTAACTATAGCCAGCATAACATCTTAGGAAGTAATTTTCCCCTTTAAACATTTCAAGTTCTGTAGGAAAGGATTTATCTTTTCCAAGGCTGCATTACCGTGCATGCTGACCACTCAAGAGTAGTGCTGATAATAGCTTGGTGTTCATGTACAATCTTGCCTAGAGATGCAGATAGAACTCTCTTAGTGTAAGTGGGAGATAGTTGTTGTAGCAAATTAAATTAAACTTGCTTCAAAATTGAAAGAATTCAACCCTGATGTAGTAGCTGATCACACGAGGCAAGTGGCAGTGTCTGCTAAATGCAGCATATTGTATGGGTGTGGCTCAAGTGGTTAAGACGCTGAACTGCAGGCTGTGGAAGGTCAGTAGTTCAGCAGTTCAAGACCCGGGTGCCGCAAGACGGGGTGAGCTCCTGTCTCTAGTTCCAGCTCCTGCCAACCTAGCAGTTCGAAAGCAAGAAATTGCAAGTAGATAAATAGGGACCACTTCGGTGGGAAGGTAACAGCGTTCCGTGCACCTTGGTGTTTAGTCATGCCGGCCACATGACCACGGAAACGTCTTCGGACAGCGCTGGCTCTTCGGCTTTGAAATGGAGATGAGCACCGCAACCCTAGAGTCGGATTTGACTGGCTTTCGAGCAAGGGAACCTTTACCTTTTAAGAGGTGTAACATCCACATTTATCTAAATGGTACCTGAAGGAGAAAGGGGTCACAGCATCTCTGAAAACCAGTGGACCAAGCTAAGTAGTGAGATGAATACATGAAAATCACACAAGGCAAGTGGCAGTGTCTGCTAAATGCAGCTGGAGTTTGCTGGAAGGGGCATCCTCAGACTTGATAGGGAAAGGGGTTAGTGAGTACTACCCTAAAATGGTTGCCATAGGAGATGGAGCTAAATCCAAAACAGCTGCCACAAGCGGTAGAGCCAAATGCAATGCATCTCTCATTGACTACAAAAGCATTACATGGCAACCACATTGAACACATGAAGCTGTCTTATGCAGTCTGGTCATTGGCCTGTCAAGGTTAGGAATGGGCACGAACCGGCAAAATGCGGTTCATGTCAGTTCATGGTTTGTGGCTGAACCACAAACCGAACTGAACCTGGAAGTTCTTTTGCAAACTGAATCAGCTCATGGTTTGTGGCCTCACAAGGCCCATTGAAAGGGACTGTAGTTCCTTTCAATGGGATTTGCAGAAAATGTGAAAATCTACAGCTGACTACAGCTGTGCAGTCCCTTTAAACTTTATAGGGATCACTAAAGTGCATTAAAAGTGGACTGAAAGTGCATTATTCAATATGTGTGAGATAAAGCTGACTTGTCCTCTTTATTCTCTAGTGGTTGCAGCTGCTATTGCAACCATGCAAAACCCTTTCATTTGAATAGTGGCAGCCAATAACAAGCCCAGGTTCACAGGGGCTCTACTCACTTTCTGAAGAGCTTTGGGGCATCATGGTACCTATGGGCAATGCATTAAGGGAACCCTGTCTGTGTGCATGTAAAGTGCCGTCAAGTTGCAACCAACTTATGGCGATCATATAGGGTTTTTGAGGCTAGAGACTAATAGAGGTGGTTTGCCATTGCCTACCTCTCCATAGCGACCCTGGTATACCACATCCTTATTCCCTTTATAGAAATACTTTCCTGAACAATCCTGGTTTACACAGGAACATAAATGGTAGTGGAATGATTCCCAGTCATGTTCCAAAACATTCTTTGTTATGATACAGTAAAAGCTGGGTGTTTGGTTTTGTTTGCTTGCAGATTGAATACCTTGACATAGATTTTTTTTGCATTCATTTCACATGGCCCTGTATGTATCTAGTGTGGCCCACATAGATACACAATCGTGTTTTAATAAAGCTAGAACTGATGTTCCAGACCTTGCCCTTGGGGTCGCCGGGTGTCATGCAGCAGACCCTGTCTTGTCTCTTGGGCATCTACTGTAGAGGACGGTTGCAAGGATTACTGTGACAGTTTTTATCTGTCACTTTTTGAAATCACCATAGAAATGCTTAGTATTGCTTTAATGAAACTTCTATGTGTAGGAATGAATCTGCTCCAATGGTTAGTAACAGGGCTTTTTTTGTAGAAAAAGCCCAGCAGGAACTCATTAGCATAATAGGTCACACCCAACAGCAGAAACTCATTAGCATATTAGGCCACACCCCTGAGTGCACATCTCATTAGCATATTAGGTCACACCCCCACATTACAAGAACTGTGGTCATCCAGCCACGCCCACCATTTGCTTCTTATTCTGTTTACCTTGTTTGTTGTCAAAACCCAGGGCTTTTTTTGTAGCAGGAACCCTTTGCATGTTAGGCCACACACCACTAATGTAGCCAATCCTAATGAGTGTCTGCTGTTGGGTATGGTCTATTATGCTAATGAGTTTCTGCTGGGCGTGGCCAACTTGGGACCCAGCCGGAACTCCGTTCCTGTGTGTTCCTGCCAAAAAATAGCCCTGGTTAGTAACTTCTGGAATAGTGAATACAAATGCGGCACTATTCATTACTAACAAAACTCAGCCAGAATAAGTTGAAGGAAACCTAAACTGAAGTAATTAAATTTGTGAACTGTTTCCATTATTTGCAAGAGTTTATAATATTCCATACCATCTCCCCATCCTTCCCTCCTTTTTTTTCTTTGACAGAGAGAGCGATTGAGAAATATTGAACGGATTTGCTTTCTTCTGAGAAAGGTAAGGGTTATCTTGTGCTGGTTGCATATTGTTGGAAGGGATCTGAGCCACTACATTTGTACTAACAGAAATAGCAGCTAACTGTCCTCAGGTCCCCCTTCCATTGTCTTGAGGGAGGAGGAGGTAACAGCAGGGCTGAAATTGAAAATGAAGTGACCTTTGAAGAAGAGGAAGGAAGCTAATTAGAAGGAACTTTCATCAGTCAATAATATCCTGAAAATAAATGAACTTTTCAGAACATCACCGGGCTCACTTTAATAATCTCATTTCTGAATGCAGGGGAAGACTTTTGGAAGCATAATATATATCTGACATGAGGCCTAATATACCTTTGTGACCAAGCTTCGTTCTAAGCATACAACTTCCATAACCGCAATGTGAACATTGTGAACAAGTTCGAATGTAACCACAATGTGAACTCTTTCTGGAACATATTGAATATGTCTCCTGTTAGATACAAAATACAGTAATTAGACATTATCACTTCATCCGAATATGGATGAAAATCCTACTTATTGTTCCCCGTGCTTGACCTGCGTGCATCATTTATTGCATCTGCAGATGCAGTTCTTTGTGACCCTCTCTTACCAGCCACCTTGAAAACAAGGGTCAAACGGTGGGGTCGAAGTATTTTTAAAAAATGTTTTGCTTATTTTTGTCCCATTTCAAATAAATCAAAATCCTTATACCTTTCCCAAAACACACATCCACTAAGGGCTACACTGCACAAAACATTTTTAACAAGTCAGGTCCAGGTTCCTTTGGCCCAACTAACTTCCCTCACAGACACAAAGGAGATGCAGGGACCATTGTTTTAAAAGTCTGTGGGAGCTCAGTTTAGCGTGGGACTGTGTCACAGGTTCTTCCATTGAGGGAAGGGCCACTTAAATTAGACGAAGGTATCTTGGAGGATGGTTGGATGTGCTCCAACATGTTTCTCTTTTAATTTTGTCTTGAAAACTAGATTTACCACTAGTATTGGGCCTGTGTGTATATATAGCCAGCATCTTCACTGTCCTGCCCAGTCCATTCATTCAATGAAATGAACATAAGAACATAAGAAGAGCCCTGCTGGATCAGACCAATGGTCCATCTAGTCCAGCATCCTGTCTCACACAGTGGCTAACCAGTTCCTCTGGGTGGCCAACAACAGGGCATAGAGGCCAAGGCCTTCCCCTGATGTTGCCTCCTGGCTCTGAGATTCAGAAGATTAGTGCCTCTGAATGTGGAGGTTCCCTTCAGTCACCATGGCTAGTAACCACTGATAGACCTATTCTCCATGAATCCATCTAATCCCCCTTTAAAGCTGTTTATTAATGTGGCCATCACTACATCCTCTGGCAGCGAATTCCACATTGTAATCACTCTCTGTGTAAAGTGGTATTTCCTTTTGTCCGTCCTGAACCTAATGCCCATCAGGTTCGTTGGATACCTACATGTTCTAGTATTTTGTGAGGAGAAAATTTTCTCTTTGTCAACTGTCTCCACACCATGCATAATTTTATAAACCTCTATCATGTCCCCCCTTAGTCATTTCTTTTCTAACTTGATAAATCCCAGGCTCTTCAGCCTTTCCTCATAGAGAAGGTGCTACAACCCCCAATCATCTTGGTTGCCCTCCTCTGTACTTTTTCTAGCTCTCAGGCCTTGTCTTTGAAAGCTGATGCCACAATAAATTTGTTTGCCTTTAAGGTGCTGCAGTGTGTGAGTGTTAAGTGTTGCCATATTGCTTCTGACTTATGGTGACTCTATGAATTAGTGACCTCCAAAATGTCCTATCATTAACAGCCTTGCTCTGGCTTTGCAAACTGAGGGCCTTTGTGGCTTCCTTGATTGAGTCAATCCTCTCATGTTGGGTCTTCCTCCTTCAGATTTCCTTAGCATTACTGTCTTTTCCAGTGACTCTTGTCTTCTCATAATGGGACCCAAATATGATAGCCTCAGTTTAGTCATTTTAGCTTCTACAGAGTTTAGGCTTGATTTATTTAATCTAGAATTTTTTTGGTGGTCCATGGTATCTGTAAAGGTCTCTTCCAACTCCATATTTATTTATTTATTTATTTATTTTTCAAATTTATATTCCACCCTCCCTGTGAATGGGCACAGGGTAGATCCCATGCGGCATCACAAAAACACAATAATAAATAGCTCATTAAAATGTTAAAACAAAGAATTTAAAAATAGATTGCTTCAGTTATTGTACAGTCTCTGATACTGGTGCAGCTGGATTCTAAATTTGTTTAATCCGGGGCACATGGAAGTGGTGTCTTCAGCAGGGGAGGCCCACTCTTTAAATAGGCACCTGCTGCCTCAACTAAAAACCTGGTGGAACAGCTCCATTTTATAAGCCTTGTGGATTTTACGTGGGCATTTTTTACCAGGCTGGGGCCAGGGCAGAGAGAGCCCTGGTCCTGGTCAAGGCTAAATGGACATCCCTCGGGCTCTCTGGGGCATATATGGGCACAAATGAATCGAGTTTCTTCCTGTCAACATTCTTCATTGATTGACTTTCACACCCATACATAGCAATGGGGAATGAATTGTCTTGAACTTGGTTGCCATGGCACATGGCATCTTTTCTGGCTCCTTCATCGTTGCCCTTCCCATCTCCTTTTGATTTCTTGGTTGCAGTCTCCCTTTTGGTTGATGTTTGGACCAGGGAATATAAAGAATATAAAATCTTTAACCATTTCAATTTCTTTATCATCAGCCTTGAAGTTGTGTAATTCCTCAGTAGTTATTACATTATATTTATTTATTTATTTATTACATTTATATCCCGCCCTCCCAGCCATGGCTGGCTCAGGGTGGCTTACAACAGCATAAAAACAATAAATAGTATAATAATCATAAAACCATATAACAATCACAACATTAAAAGGTGCTAACAATAATAATCCAATTACCATTAAACAGATAACAATTTAACATTATATTTCAAATGGCGCTCAGACTTTCAAGCCATCCTAGTGATCAATCTCGATGTAATATTGTACGGGTGACTCAGGCTGCTTTAAGAATTTCAGGGGACAGGACAGTCTCCCCCGGGGTGGCTTCTAATTGAACACCTGGCAGAACAGCTCTGTCTTGCAGGCCTTGTGGAATTGCATAATGTCCCGTAGGGCCCTGATCTCCTCCGGGAGCTCGTTCCACCAGAGTGGAGCCACCACCAAGAAAGCCCTGGCCCTGGTTGTAGCTAGCCTGGCATTTTTTGGTCTGGGAAGGGTGAGTCGGTGTTGAGACCCTGATCGCAGTGCTCTCTGGGGAACCCTCAGGTATGTAGGTCCCTGACCATAAAGGGTTTTAAAGGTAAGAACCAGCACCTTAAAGGGAATTCAATATGCTATCGGTAGCCAGTGCAATGTCTTCAGCACAGGCTGAATGTGCTCCCGTATTGGGAGGCCCACCAACAGCCTGGCTGCAGCATTTTGCACCAGCTGTAGCTTCTGGATTTGTGATAAGGACAGCCCCATGTACAGAGCATTACAGTAGTCCAACCTCGAGGTGACCGTCACATGGATCACCATTGCCATCATTGCATTCAAGGAAGGGAACCAGCTGTCTAATCAGCCAAAGATGATAAAAGGCCGACTTGGCAGTGGCTGCTACCTGGGCCTCCATTGTCAAGGAGGCATCCAGGAGCACTCCCAAACTCCTAACCTCTGGCTCTGGCACCAACTGAGCCCCATCAAAGGTCGGGAGTGGGATCCCTACCCTTGGTCCGCCCCAACTCAGGCACAGGACTTCTGTCTTTGTCGGGTTCAGTTTCAACTGGCTCAGCCTAAGCCAGCCAGCCTTGTCTTGTAACGCCCGGTCAAGTTCTTCTGGTTTGGAGTTGGACCGGCCGCCGAACAACAGATAGAGTTGGGTGGCATTAGAGTACTGGTGACACCCAGGCCCATGTCTCCGTGCAATCTGGACAAGGGGGCACATGTAGATGTTCAATAACATTGGGGACAACACCGCCCCCTGAGGCACTCCACAATCAAGTGGGTGCCTTCGGGAAAGGTGTTCCCCCAGTGCCCCCCTTTGTCCCCGGCCTTGGAGAACGGCCTTGGAGAAAGGAGACGAGCCATTGCAAGGCAGGCCCCTGAATCCCAATGCCAGCGAAGTGGTGGGCCAGTAGCTAATGGTCGACCATGTCGAACACAGCCAATAGTTCCAACAACAACAGCACCGCCACTCCGCCTCGATCCAGATGCCTTTGGTCTGTGAGGGCAACCAGAGCCGTCTTCATCCCGTGACCCGGGCAAAAGCCAGACTGGAAGGGGTCTAGAATGGAAGCATCATCCAAAAAGCTTTGAAGCTGCATCGCCACAGCCCTCTCTATTAACTTGCCCAGATAGGGCAGGGTTGGAAACCAGCAGATAGTTTGCCAATTCAGCCGGATCCAGAGATGGTTTTTTAAGGAGAGGACGTACCACTGCTTCCTTAAGCGCTCCTGGGAACAGTTCCTCCGAGAGGGACTTATTGACTATTTCCCTGAGGGCACCTTGAAACCCTGTGTGGCCAGCTTTAATCAGCCACGACAGGCACGGATCTAGGGAGCAAGTGGTAGGGCGTACAGTCAGAAGCAATTTGTCAACTTCCTCTAGGCTGAGCAGGTTGAAATGATACATAACCCGACTAGAAGACGTGCAAGGGGCCTTGAGCTCACTCACTGTTTCAAATTTGGTGGTGAGGTCAAGGCGGAGCGACAAGACTTTGTCTGCAAAATAGCTCACAAAAGCCTCACAGCTGATATCCAATTCCCTAACATTTGGCTTGCCCTGAGGCAGAATAGTAATGGACCGAATTGTTCTATATAATTGGGCTGGACGTGAGCTCGCAGACGCAATCGTAACCATGAAGTACTCCTTCTTCGCAGCTTTGACTGCCATCTCGTAGGATCTCATAATCGTCCTATAAGATGCTCTTGTGACTTAATTGCGGGCGCACCACCACTGTCTCTCTAATTGTCTTAGCCCTTGTTTCATAAGTCGCAACTCCTGGGTATACCA